TCAAATGCAACAATTGTGAGAATGGCACAGAGCCGGTAAATGTTTCATTCTGTTGTGCATAGGGTCGCTATGAGTCAGAACCGACTCAGCAGCACCTAACAACAATAACAATGGCTCACAATCTCAAAACATTTCTTCTTGTTTATTGGCCACCTGAATGTCCTTGGTGAAGTGTCTGTTCATGTCCTCTGCTCATTTTTTATTTGGATTATTTTTTTCTTGTTGAGGTATTGAAATCCTCTGTAAGTTTTAGAAATTAGTCCCATGTCTGATATTTTATTGCCAAAAACTGTCTTTCCAGTCCGTGGATTCTGTTTTCAGTCTTTTGCTGAAATCTTCTGATGTACATAAGTTTCTAGTTTTTAGCAGCTCCCAGCCATCTATTTTGTCTCCTGCTGTTTGTGTTTTTTATTATGTTTGACACTGTGTTTATGCCAAGTATCTCTGGTAGCGTAGTGGTTACAAATCAGACTGTGAACCTTAGGGTTAGCAGTTCAAAACTACCAGCTGCTCCGTGGGAGAAAGATGAGGCTTTCTGCTCCCGTAAAGATTTACAGTCTCGGAAACCCTGTACAGGGTCGCTATGGTTCGGAACCGACTCGACAGCACTTAACAACAATCAGAGTCCCTAAGTTTGGCCCTATGTTTTCGTTGATGATCTTTATAGTTCTAGGATTTACATTTAGGTCTTTAATCCATGTTGAGTTCATTTTTGTATGGGTAAGATAGGGGTCTTGTTTGATTGTGATTCTATATGTGTGATACATTTTTTGACAGCCTTTGATTGTTTTTGTCTTTGTGTATAAGGTCTGTCTCTTGTAGACAGCATAGTGAAGGATCCTGTTCTCGTCACATAACCTTTTACTTTCTTTTTCACAGTCATTTGTTTCATTTTGAAGTGCTTTAAGGTACTTTTCCCTTTCATCAGATTAAGAAGGTAGTAACATCTGTAGTTCTCATTTCTTATCTGTTTCTGGATCAGTATTCACGGCCATCTGTCCTCTTCGGAAACCTAAGGGGTATCCCATAGACTTGATGTTCTGGAAACTTCTTTTAGGCCACCTTTTACCAGCTAATAGGGAATGGGATAAGGTAAACATTTAGCTCTTATAGATCAGCTTGGCTTAGAGCTGTGTAACATTTCCATCTAAAAGGGAGTCATGTTGTTGTTGCGGTCCCCATCAAGTCCATTGGAACACCCCACGTGTGCAGAGTAGAAACAGAGTTTCCAAGGTTGTGGCCTTACAGAAGGAGATTTCCCACTTATCTTCCAAGATAACCTCCAGGTTTGAACCATCAGTCTTTCATTTTAGTATTTGGTTTCATAGTGAAGCACCTAACTGTTTGCACCAAGGATTGGGCATGGGAAAAAGAAGGGAAGGAAGAGAATGCAACACCTAACCCCTTCCTCTGCTTAGAGAGGGGATGATATTGTTACTGTTGTTGTTGTTGTTAAGTGCCATTGAGTCGATTCCGACCCATAGCGACCGTGTATAGGGCTTCCAAAGAGCAGCTGGTGAGTTTGAACCACCAACCTTGCAGTTCAAACGGCTTTGCAGTCTGGTGCATTAGGAGTTACAAATTCCTACTATGGAGAGGATTCTTCTTTTTTGTTTTTTAATGTTTTGTTGTGAATTATGT